GACGCCTGGAGAGTAGTTGGAGAGCCAGTCGTTCCGAATCTGACCGAACACTGGTGAGGTCCTATATTAAGACCTACTTAGTGGCGATAGCAGCGGCAAAATAGGTGGTTTAAAGGTGGTTTGGTTACCACCTTTAAAGCGCTCCATGGCTCAGGACCTGGGTACTTGTGGGACCACCTACTACTACCAATAGCCTCCCACCAGCCAGTACGCTCCCATAGAGAGGGGCTCCTCCGGGTGCCATCGGCCAAACAATGCCAACTGGTGGCCCCCAGGGGGAGAGCCTTCTCTGTGGGGGCACCTACTATCTGGAACGAGCTCCCCCCGGAGATACGGAGGATCCTGGATCTGTGCACCTTCCGCTGCGCTCTAAAGACCTTATCTCAGGAATGCCGTGTGAGACGCAATCAAAACACAGCTACAGCCTTATTCAGCTCTTTTGGCATGCTGGTTTATTCGCATCCGCATCCGGCTACACACTGTGATTCGTAAACACGATTGAAATCGGCGCTACGTTACACCAAGAATGGGGCGTTTATATAGCCCATCTTTCCATTAACTCATTAGGACCGCACCCTTGTTTGTTACCACGCCCCTCTTTTAGGGGCATAGACCGCGCCCTTGTTTATTCCCCCGCCCCTCTTTTAGGGGCATAATTGGTCTTCAGCATGTTCTGAAAGGTGCTGCCGCTGTGTCCTCCGGAAAGGTCCTAATCCCGTCGCACCCGATACCACCACCCCACACCCTGCATACAGCCGCCTTCACCCAGTGCCACCACCACCAATTATGTATATGTCCCTCAATGCTTTCAGCACGCGGTAGAGATGTCGAGCAGGTTGCTGGGCTCGACACCTTATTATTTCACCAGGCGGGCCTGGCCTAATTTTCTCCCTCTTTTATAAAAGATTTTTAATCTTTTAATATCTTTTAGTATTTTATATATTCAAATTTTAAAATTGGTTTTAAATAGTTTGGGGTTTTAATTTGTCTGGGCCAAAACTATTTAATTTGATTTTAATTCTACTTTTAAATTTTGTATGTATGTGTTTTATTGTTTGGCTGTGCACCGCCCTGAGTCCTTCGGGAGTAGGGCGGTATAGAAATAAAATCAAATAAATAAATAAATATTTTTCCGCTATTATTGCATCGGCAGTATAATCGCCCAGCCGCCTTGTTTAGGGTGACTCGCTCCCTCCTCCATTTGGGAGCACGGGAAGACCCCTTACAAGGTCGAGCTGAGGATTTTGCACAATATCTGCACGATAAAATCGCTCAAATTCAGGAAGGCTTGGACTCTGACTGGGTAGGTTCAGACGGAGTGACGGAGGTGGGTCTTGAGGATATTATTTGAAATGAGTTTGACCCTGTGACCCCTGGAGACGTGGACAGTTTACTGGGGAAGTTGAACGCAACCACATGTTTATTGGACCCGTGTCCCTCCTGGTTAGTACTGGCTTCCCGAGAGATTACATGAGGCTGGCTCCAGAGGATTATAAACGTTTCTCTGAGTGAGGGTTTCTTGCCTTCCGCCTTGAAAGAGGCGGTGGTGAGGCCCCTCCTCAAGAAACCCTCTCTGGACCCAGCTGTTCTAGCAAACTACCGTCCTGTCTCCAATGTGGCTAAGGTTGTTGAGAGTGTGGTGGCACAGCAACTCCCACAGTACCTGGATGAAACTGTCTATCTAGATCCGTTCCAGTTTGGCTTCAGGCCTGGTTACAGCACTGAAACAGCACTGGTCGCATTGGTTGATGATCACTGGAGATCTTGAGATAGGGGCTGCTCCTCTATCCTGGTTCATTAGATCTCTCAGCGGCTTTTGACACTATCAACCATGGTATCTTGCTGCGCCGACTGGAAGGGCTGGGAGTGGGAGGCACTGTTCTACAATGGTTCTCCTCCTATCTCTCCGACCGGTCGCAGTCTATGTTGGCAGGAGGGCAGAGGTCGACTTCAAGACACCTTACTTGAGGTGCCGCAGGGGTCGGTCCTTTCACCTCTTCTGTTCAACATTTATGTGAAGCTGCTGGGTGAGATCATCCATGGTTTTGGGGTGCAGTGCCATCTTTACACTGATGATACTCAGCTGTGACCACCCCAGACCACCCCAATGATGCCCTTGCAGTGATGTCCCAGTGCCTCGAGGCCGTGCGGATCTGGATGGGGAGAAGCAGGCTCCAACTCAACTCTTCCAAGACCGAGTGGCTGTGGCTGCCGGCGTTCCTATATAGCCAGCTGATACCATCGTTGACTATTGGGGGTGAGACATTGGCCCCCATGGAGAGGGCTCGCAACTTGGGTGTCCTCCTGGACACGTGGCTGTCTTTAGAAGAGCATATGACGGCCATGGCCGGGAGAGCTTTCTATCAGGTTTGCCTGATTCACCAGTTGCGACCCTTTCTGGATCAGGACTCCTTATGCACAGTCACTCATGCCCTCGTCACTTCTCGACTGGACTACTGTAATGCTCTCTATATGGGGCTCCCCTTGAGGTGCACGTGGAGGCTCCAATTGGTCCAGAATGCGGCCACCTGGGTGATATTGGGAGCAACATGGCGCTCCCATGTAACACCTCTCCTACACGAGCTGCACTGGCTCCCAGTGGCCTTCCGAGTGCGCTTCAAGGTGTTGGTTCTTACCTTTAAAGTGCTCCATGTCTTAGGACCTGGGTACCTACGAGACCACCTTCTGCAACCGATAACCTCCCATCAACCAATACGCTCCCACAGAGTGGGCCTTCTCAGGGTTCCGTCACTAAAGCAATGTCGACTGGTGGTTCCCAGGGGGAGAGCCTTCTCTGTGCGGGCTCCTACCCTTTGGAACAGGATACCCCCAGGGATACGAATGATCCCAGATTTTCGTACTTTCCATCATGCACTTAAGACCTTTCTGTTTCACCAAGCCGGGCTGGCATAAATTTTTTCTAATTGTCTAAATTTTATTCTGAAGATCTTAACTGATGAGCCAAATTGGCTTAATTATTTTAAATTGCTTCTATTTCACATTTTTATATATATGTTATTTTGACTGTTCACCGCCCTGAGTCCTTCGGGAGAAGATCGGTATAAAAATTAAATAAATAAAACAAATAAATAAAATAAATAAATAAATAAATAAATAAAAGTAAATCACAATGTCTCTTGGCAATTGATTCTGTCTAGCAAACCAGGAACTAACACGATATATTTTGTCAATTTGCAATGAGAAATCTGCTTGTTGCTCCCCAGTTATCTTTGCAAAAGCCTCTGCAAAGATCTCTCTCAAGTTCTCTCGATTATGTTCTCTCAGACCTCTTACTCTCAGGGCAAATTCTATCACTCTATATTGTAGCATCACCACTTCATCGTCTGCCCTATCCACCTTGGTCTGAACTTCATCCATTTTATTTTCCAAATTCAAATTAGACTGATTAATTTGTTCTACTCTTTCATCCAACAATTCAATGTGTTTTGCCAGACCCTGAAATGCCATTACTATATCTTCTCTTATTTCCTTATTCCGAGTTTGTATGACTTCTTTAATTTCAGCCATCTCTTCAGACACTCCCTTAATTTTCCCCTCTAAAAAAGAAGTTTGTTGCTTCAAAGCCTCCTGCAGAGATTCCTGTAAAACTTCCAAAGTCAGTATTTGTGGGTTTGTGTTGTGGCCCCGCCCTCTGAGCCTATCTCATCGGAGGAGGAAGGCTCCAAACATGAAGAAGAGGAGTCGGCCAGGCCTCCCTCTCCAGGCCCCTCCCTTCTGGCACTGCCTCAAGTGCCGGCCGAGGAAGAGGAGATTAGCCAGGAGCCAGGTGTCTCCGATGAGAGCGAGGGAGGTGATCTGTCGTTCCTGGATCCACACCAACGAAGGCGTGATAAACGGTTGCAGCAGTTAAGGAGGCGTGCCAGGGATTATAACTGAGTCACTGGACCACACACCAGAGACTATATAAGAGAGTGTGGTGGCCATTTAAGACTCTGTGACGAACAAAAACTAACTCTGGCTAGTCACTTGAACAACGCTTAAAGCTGCCGAAAGGTTTCTTGTTTGGAACTGGACTATTTGCAATTTGTATGTATTTTCTGTTTATCTGATGAAGTAAAGCCCTTGGCAGTCGATGCTCGTATAGCTGCCAAGTTTTTGATAACAACCTGTGTGCGTGCCAAGTGCTTCCTTAACCCTCGGCTTAGGCTTCTAAGGCTTAAACAGCCTTAGAAGCGCTAACGATGTTAACTATCACTTTCACTATAACTTTCACTTTCACACCCTGTTACAGTTCAGGCGCCATTTTTGCTTTCGTTTTTAAAAGTCTTAGAAGGAAGAAGTATAGACACAGAGTTAAAGTTCAGTACTTACAGTTGCTAGGACTCCTGTTTTTGTTCTGCCTGCTTTGAGATTATTTTGAATCTGAATGTTGATTGCAGGGGTGGTCGCGCCGTCTTGTTCTGCTTGAAGCAGAGAAGTCCTGGATTCGTAGCTCAGTCAGACTACCAGGGAGCTCTCACCCTCCAAGCCCCAGAATTGCTCCTAGGGCTTTTGGGGAGCTCTACCTTTGTCCAGCTGCTCGCCTTCCTCTCTTCTCCCGAGGGGAAGGTTTCCAAACCACCAGACAGCTAATTTGCACTGTCTTGGCAGTTTTAACGAAATCGCGGGGCTGACGATCCAAAAGGAGCATCTGTCAGCGTCTGCGGTGCCACCGGAAGTTCCGAGTTATTTATATTAATATTGCTACACACATTTTTGATATCAATCTCAATACAAAAATCTGGATTAATTCAATATATTCTTAAATGTTTATATCAGCACCATTTGCTGGATCCTTTCATTGGTTATAAATATAATATTGTTGCTAAAGATCTGTTTATTTATTAAATTGATACATACTGTATGGCCACCCACCTGGTAAATGTGATTTTACCAGGTGGTGTTAACAACACTTTAAAAGCAATGAAAAAAACAATACCAGTCACACATAAAAGATGTTGAAGCACTGTCTAATTTTGGTTTTTTAAATTTTCTTAAAGAGCTTGGCAACTTTACTAATAACTTCACAAGTCCTTAATCAGTTTGTGGAAGCTGCACTGCCTTATTGGCTCCAAAAAAGAAGGAATAAAACAGTAAAGAAAAAGGTGAAAGCACTGGAAATAGATACTGACATGTCTTTATTTGAACAAGTTAATCTGGAAAAAGGAATGGATACTTACTTGGTAAATTATGCTTTCTCCTTTCTTCTAATCCTATTAGATTTAATTCAAGTTTATTCAGTCAATAATTGCCAAAATGACATAAACATGTATCTTTATAAAAAAAAAATGCTTGGTCATGTTTGTGTTAATTGTGCCTAAAGCTAGTCTGTTTTATGAACTATAGATTATAAAAATATTTGGATTTTGTTATGCCAGGAGAATTCAGTTAGAATATAATAATGCACACTCTTTTAATCCAAAATTCCATCTAGTTTACTTGCTTTTGTAAGTTTACATGTCTTGCCTATACCTAGCTAGTAAAATTTGATACATGTCCTCATGAATCCAGACATGAATATTCCACTTGTAATATTTGTCAGTTTTCTTTTTCTTTCTTCATTTGTTTTCCCTTTGGTCACACATGGGAAGAGTTGCCCCAATGGCTGTCATTAATGGAAAAACTTAATTTTGGGGATCAGCCCATTTTTTTATTAGCTTTTTAAGAGTATTTAATTTAGGGTTATGTTTAACAATAATGTATACATTCTCTCATGCAACAACGTCTTGATACTTTTGTTTCATGTGAAATGAATACATAAATTGGATTAATTGGACTTCAAACAGCAATAAATTAGAATGGATAATCTCATTTTAATCATCTTCTTCACTTTCATCTTTTTAATTAATTAGTTATGTACATAAATTTGTCAGGTGTTATAAAGCTGCCTCTAATCTGAAAATTATTAATAAAATATTGTCTTTCTTTTCAGGGTACTTTTGATGATTATTTGGAGTTGTTCTTACAGTTTGGTTATGTGAGCCTTTTTTCATGCGTCTACCCTTTGGCTGCTATTTTTGCTGTGCTAAACAACATCACTGAGATGTATTCCGATGCCTTAAAAATGTGCAGTGTTTTTAAACGCCCATTTTCAGAGCCTGCTGCAAATATAGGTGTATGGCAGGTAATTCATGTAAATAATTATGCTTTCTAAACTTTATAGATGTTATTAGCATTGAGAAGATTAAGTCAAATATAAGTCATGGTTGATCATACTTTGTTCCCTAAAAGCTAAATTGCTAACTTTCTTTCCCCACCTTTTTTCTTTAGCACTAAGGTCCTTGGGTACTGTGGCCAGTAACGTATTTTTTTAAGAGGCAACTGGACTTTTTAATGTTTTTTTGTAGACGTTCCACTTCTCATCCAAGAAGCTTCTTCAGATCTGACTGAATGATGGGGAATGGAAGGATTTATAATCCTTGCAGACAGCTGGTCATTTGCATTCTTTTAGAGAGTTGTTGAGGTCACTTGGAGGTTTATTTGTGTCCTCAGAGTCACCTGAGTAGTGCAAATGGATGTGGAGCCTTCTTGGAACTGCTGAAAGAACTGTGTTGTTGACTGGAGATAGATGATGTCATATCCCTCCCTCTCTGTTGAGAGAGGGCTGTTTAGTTTTGACATAGATGGCATCTTTGACCCCTCTTTCAAACCAACGGTCCTCTCTGTCCAAAATGTGGAGTTTGCTGTCTTCAAAAGAGTGGCCTTTGTCTTTTAAATGCAGATGGTCAGCTGAAACTTGTCCTGATGGGTTTGTTCTCCTTTGTTGTACCATGTGTTTATGAAGTGGTTGTTTTTGATATGACATCATCTGTTTCCACTCTACAACACTGTTCTTTCAGTAGTTCCAAGAAGGCTCCATGTCCATTTGCAGTACTCAGGTGACCCTGAAGACACAAATAAACCTCCGAATGGCCTCAGCGACTCTCTAAAAGAATGCAAATGACCAGCTGTCTGCAAGGAATATAAATCCTTCCATTCCCCATCATCCAGTCAGAACTGAAAAAGCTTCTTGAATGAGAAGCAAAACATCTTCAAAGAAAAGCAAGGAAGTCCAGTTGCCTTTTAAAAAAAAGCACCTTTGGGACAACCAGGACCTGGATAACTGAGAATCTCCATTGACATGGCCAGTAACATAGTGCAGGGGCTGGGGTAGTTTCTCATCCCTTTTTAAAATTCTACAGACTTACAAATAAAAAGGTAGGCAGAAATTAGATAAGCAAATCACTTTGTCATTGCTCTCAGTTGAACAAATCTCTTGGATCTCAGCTGTCATAGATAAGATATCTGTTTTTATTTTATTTTCTATTATTTATTATTTATACTCTATTTTATATTATAAAATATGTCTCTCTATTACATTTTGATCCCACCCTCTCATCTGCAAAGAACCTAGGAAGCTATGCTTTAATGAAAAAATAAGAGGAAGAAAAAGTTCCAAATAAATCAAGATTAAAAAACCGTCACATGATTTCAGATTTCAAATGCTCTACTAAAGAGTCAGATCTTCATGGCATTATGGAAAAATAAGACTCTGAGATCCCTACACGAGTCAGGGGGAATACATTTCAAAGAATGTGGGTTACCATTGAATAAACCTAGGAACCTGCCAAGGAAGAGGAATCCAGAACATTCTCTCTGGTCAATTAAACAGGGGAAATAGATTCCTTCTGAAAAAAATGGTTTTTTAGCTAATGTGGCCAAAAGCCACTTAGGCTTTATAGATTATAACCATTACTTAGAATTGCGTTGAGAAGCTGGCTGACAACCAAAGCAACACAAGCAATATAAGTGTAACATTGCTGAAATTATGCAGATTCTTATCCAGTTATAGGTGCCAATGAATATTAAACGAAAGAGTATCAGAATGTAATGTGATTGTAGTTAATACATTATTTTTTGTTTCTTTTAGATGGCTTTTCAAACTATGACTGTAATCTCAGTTATTACAAACTCTATCCTAATTGGCATGTCACCGCAAGTAAATGCACTCTTCCCAGATTCAAAATCTGAACTTATCATAATTGTAGTGTTGGCAGAGGTAAGTCAAAGTTTAAATATTTCTTAAATTTCAGAAAAAGTTACTATGGCTTACTTATAATTTCTTGACTACCTTTATCTTGACAATCAATTAATCCTAAAAGATGTTTTAACATTTTAATAGTTTAGCAATCCCTTTGTACCATAATATGTCTCTGCTGTAAAATCTCAGTAGGTTATAGAAAGCACACATTTTATCTTGATAGAAGAGGCCCATGAGTTTGGTTTATGAAGGACAGTTATAGAGGCAAGATAAGTGAATGCTAAAGGGGTATTGTTGAAAACATAATTTCTTGATTTTTTTTCCTCTTGCTGTTTATTGTATCTAACTAAGAAAAGACAAGGAAGCAAGACTAAGAGCAATTGTTGGCAGAGGTAAGAGTTTACATCCACAATCCACTATAAGTAGTCGTCAACTTATGACCAGTCATTTAAGGACTGTTCAAGGTTATGACAGATTCCCCCCTCCAAAAAGGTAATTATGTCTTGAAGTTACATCCACTGCAGCACCCCTGTGGTTAAGACCGACTTCAGGGAAGCTGCAGCATGCCTCCCCGTGCCTATTCCCCCCTCCCATCCTGCCAGTCCAGATTCCCACAGGCATTGGCCCTGTTTGCCATTCCACTGAATTCTATACATTCTTCTCCACCCCACCCCCATCATGTGTCTTTTGATCTCCAGAACTCAGAAGGTTGGGGTAGGGAAAAAGGACAGGCCTCTCTATTGCTGGGCCACACGGTCCAATCCTACAAACAGCCATCATTTTCTGAGCAAAATACATACTGATGAAGCTAAGGCTAGCTTTAGCAAGGAACAGAAAGCTGAGAGTTTGGAAATTGAGATCATTTCCAATTGTACTTTTACATGTATTTATCAATAGCAATAAACTATTTTTTGTTCATTTGCCATATATGTAGGCATAGGCCCCCATTAGGAGTCTCTCAAGTTTCAGTCTAATATATCTTTATATCGTGTTCCGGAGCCAAGTTTTCTTTTCCAAATTTAAAGTTATTGGGTTCTCTTCCCACTTCTAAAACTGAATCTCTAGATCAAAATAACCATGCATATGAAAAATTAAGAAATCATTTCTTTATAAGACCATCAATTGTGTAGGCTATGAATAGAAATAGATTATTTTATTGGTTTTATTTATATGATTTTCTCACAAGTGACTCTTGGCATCTTACAAAATTAAAACCCACCAAACATAACTCTCTGGTTAAAGAAAAACCACATGGGTGTTTATGAAGATAGAAAATAACTATATAATATATAATATATTTGCATAGAAAAATTTAATGGATGCACTCACTAGCATTGTCCTTGGCTCTTTCATCTTAATAAATTGATTGAGTTCCACCACAAGAGGGCATGTGAATATACAGTACAGTACAATACAAGTTGTTACTTAATGGAATTCTTGTCTTCCATGAACTCGTAATGCTATAATGTCAAATGAAAACATTAATAGAATTTTAAAAAATACCCTGAAGTAAAATAACGTAATAAAAAATTGAGTAATACAATTATGTCCATATTTACCCAAAAGTAATCATTGCAAAGTTCAGTGAAACTTAACTATTTAGTAAAGTCAAACCTTAGTTTTATAAGTACATATGGATTATGGAGTCACTAAGTCATTAATAAACTAATTTAATCTACATTTATCATAAATCTGAATAATATCCCATAGCCTAGAGCAGTGGTCCTCAACCTGTTCTTCGCAACAGACCCCCCTTAAATACCTTTTGTGGCCTGGGACCATAGCCATGGACCCCCAAGACTTAACTCAAGATTTAAACCATAACATTTCTTCAAGTCCTCGCATATTCCCTATGATGACATCGCAGCCCCCCCCCCCCCCCCCCCCCCGCGCCAAGGGATCTACAGACCACAGGTTAAAAACCATTGGCTCAGGGACTTGTATAAATGCCTTTGGAAATCTACTTTTTTTTAAAAAAATCAATCTACTGGAATATAATTCATAATAAATTCATTATAAAAAAAAGGAAAGAATCAAATTGATCCAGCTGTTACTTTTAGAAACGACTGTAATTATAGCTCCTTTTTTCCCTCAGCTCCAATGCTTATAATATCCATTTTCCATTTCTCAATCTCCTTCCCAATCTTATTTCACTTCACAGCTGTTTTCCTTCTAAATAAATAATTTAATCTTCTGTGCTTAAACTTGAAAATGTTTATGTATCAGAAGTGCTATTTGTAGTATAATGAGAGATTTAGATTGCATGCACAGTTTACATGCTTAATGTCCCAGATTAAGTATTCATATGCTGGTTTGATTTTAAACAGTTTACTGGAAAATGGCAAGCAATCATACACTAAGGCAAGCAGATAACTGAGCAATTACATACATATCCTGGAAATGCCTTGTTTGAGAACCAGGCTGTTAAAGAGCTCATTCCAAAATAAAAAACTGAAAATGGGTCCAGAGATACAGATAGTCCTTGAGTTACGACCATAGTGAAGTCTATTCATTACAGTTGGAAATCAGGATGGCTGTTAAGTAAAGCATGGGCTTCCTCGGGCACGGGAGACCCTGGGAGCCTAGTGCAGATAGAAGCCCACCAGCCTCAGGCCTCCCAAGGCCTTTCCCACCCCAAGATATCCCATGTTCTTCTTCCTTCCCCTTGAGATCCCCACAACAGCTTGGGCCTCTTCTCCACTGTTGTCACCATTATACACTTACCCTTCAAAGCACCCAGGAAGTCCAAGAGGAAAGGAGGGCAGGCTGTTCCATTGCTAGGCCACATAGCACAATCCCACAAGCAGCTGTCTTTTTCTGAGTGCAGCTGCAAATCGCTGCAATCCAGCAATCCATGCAGCCCAGCAACAAAGCAGTTTGTAACTGCAGCGTGATCATAGAAGCACTGGTTTGAAAAATGACAATCACTTGTGGAATCCCAGCCACGGAAATGATTCCTTTGCTTCTCTTGTATTATCAAAGCAAAGCAAATGTCTTTGTGGTTGGGATCTCACAAGCGGCTATCATTTTTCAAGCAACAGAGAGCTTTGCTTTGAAAAGCTTTCCAAGCTGTTGGAGAACTTTGTTTTTCTTTATGAAGAAAACCAAACCTTTCAACTTTCCAAACAACAGAAAGCTTTTGTTTTCTTCAAAAGAAAATCAAAGCTGTCTGCTTTCCAAGAAATGGAGAGCTTTACTTTTAAAAATAGCATTGTTGAGATGAAGGCAGGTGGCTACAGCACACTGAATCTGATCTTGCCTCTTCCTTTTCCTGTTACCATCTCCAGTTTAGTTTTGGGGTAGTTTCAATATTTAATCATATACCATATTTTTTGGACTATAAGATGCCCCGGAGTATAAGACGCACCTTAGTTTTTGGGGAGAAAATTTTTTAAAAAGCTGATTGGTGGGTGGATCAACCTCCCAGAATACCCCCAATCAGCTGTTCCAGAGGTGAATTTTAGCAACAGCTTCATTGGTTGAGAGCTCTGTGCCTTGCTTTTTTTCAGCCTCTGAAACCTATGTTTCAGAAGCTTTTTTTCTGAAGCTTCATTTCAGAGGCTTTTTTTCTAAAGCTCTGTTTCGGAGGCTTTTTTTCTGAAGCTTTATTTCAGAGGCTTTTTTTTCTGAAGCTCTGTTTCAAAGAGTTTTTTTCTGAAGCTCTGTTTTGGAGGCTTTTTTTCTGAAGCTCCGTTTCAGAGGCTTTTTTCAGCCTCTCAAACCTCTGCTTCTGTAGCAGGGCTACATTCAGAGCATAAGACACACCCAGATTTTCACTCTCTTTTTTGGGGGAAAAAGGTGCGTCTTATACTCCGAAAAATGCGGTAAGTATATTTCAGATACAAAGTATATTTCAGAGATTTCACTCAGTTAATATGCAATACAAATAATCCCTGTTAGTTTGTTTCTGTAGACTTTTAATTTTTTAAAATTAAATTAAGTCCTAATAGATTAGACTGTGAATTTGTTACTTATTTGTTCCTTGACAGCTCTAGCAATATCCTTGTTTTAAACATTTTGAGATTTACATAAGGGAAGTATGTATTTTTGTATTTTCCTTTATTCTAATACAAATTAGAATAGGATTTCATCCAGTTATCAGGAAACATTAGAATTAAAAACAACTAACGGTAGTGGAGAGACTTCTGAAAATTATGAAGTGTTCGATAGCCTTACATTCATTCTTTTAGGTGCTATAGCAGGGATTAGGATGGACCTGAACTTTCCCCACGTTTTCTGCTCAGGCCTGGAGCTGAGAGTATGAAAGGAGCCCATTCACATCTATTGATTGTGATGTTTTCTTGGCTACTATGAATATTAATGTTTGTAATTGTTTTTATTTAATAATTTACCATCTAGTGTCATTTGTTGAGAGTGTAGCTGTACAAATTAATTAAATATTATTTATTTATACTGTAATTATTAATAATATTTCCATAGTATCATTACATCATATTTATCTTATTGTAGCTTTATATTCTGGTAATGGTAAGGGAAATGAAAGCTCAAAATCCATGACATACATGAATTGTGTTTATTGCAACTTAAACCCACAAGCCAGCTCTCAATGCCAGATTTTTACAATTTGATTTTGAATGCATATACTTTAAAAGTTTTCTGCTTTTAAAACTATAATTGTAAAATAGTTAATTGGGATTATCTGCCCTTATGTGAAAACTTTGCTATCATCACAGTCTAGTTGAGCAATTTTATTATTTATTATAAATAATTGTATTATTTCAGAGCCAGTTTGATGTACTGGTTAAGACTAAAAACTAGGAGTGTATGAGTTCTAGTTCCACCTTAGTCACAAAGATAGCTGGGTAACCTCGGGCTGGTCACTTTCTCTCAGGAGAAAAGGGCAAACCACTTCTGTAAAAGCCTTACCAAGGAAACTGCAAGGACTTGTCCAAGCAGTCTCCAACTGAACAGACAAATTGAATAGAAGAAAATAATAATAATTATATAGGCTCCTATATGAATATCAAGAGGAATCTGCCATAGAGAATTTTTTCTTCTTTCTACGAGTATCCCAGAAACAGGGTTCTTCAAATTATGATTATTAGCTATTGAACTAAAGCAAATATTTCAGCACAACATCAAGATACTAAGATCTCATCCCTGAATGCTATTTTATTCATCTATTTTTTTTCAGCATTTAGCCCTAGCAGTGAAGTTCCTTATGTCCTATGTGATCGCTGACAAACCCCAAGATATTCAAATAAAATTGGCAAGGCTAGAATTTGAATCTTTGGAAGCACTGAAACAACAGGTAAGGACTCTGATACAGGCAAGACAAATGCAGAAAACTATATTGTTTTTAGTCTGTAGAGATTCTCATATATTGTTTTTCTTAATTAATTAAATTATGTGACAATTACTCATTTGTTTAAAAAATATATGGTCACAGCTGTTCAATTTTTAATTTTTAAATAATAATCTTAATCTATAATATATATCTGCGTACATGTCTGTAGGTGTACATGTATATGTCTCCACTATAATCTTCATATAACATTAATAGGCAATATTAAGAGGGTTAAGGTTAATTAACAGGAGCTGTGGTGGTGCAGTGGTTAGAATGCAGTATTGCAGGCTGACTGCCCACAGCCAGAAGTTCAGCCCTAACTGGCTCAAGGTTGACTCAGCCTTCCATCCTTCTGAGGTCAATAAACTGAGGATCCAGATAGTTGGGGGCAATATGCTGGCTCTGTAAATCACTTAGTAAAGCACTATGGAGTGTTATATAAGTCTAAATACTATTGCTATTGCTAATGACATTTGGCATGTAATGTATTCTTAACAAGCCAAAAGTAGAATGGCATTTTCCATATAAAGATTCATTCAATAAAAATTGCATTTGGTGCTACAATCTTTCCCATTAACTTTTCTTTTGATTGTTAGACAATGTCCCCTTGATTTTCTTAGCTATTTTTATTAAATATTTATTGTGACACTGTCATGTATGCCACCACTGCAACAGTATGGCTAATCCAACAAAATCTTCATTATATAGGACAAAAGAATATTGTAAACATCTAATGATCTAGATATAGGGAATATAGTTATTGAGCCCTTGTCATGGTCAGATCATTCTCTCCTCCAGCTTGACTTTCTAACCGTTACACCCCGCCGCAAGGAGGCGGAACCAATTATGTGGTTCCGCCCCAGGCGCCTGATGGATCCTGACAGGTTGCAGATGGAGCTTGGGCCATTCCCTGAGGCTCTGGCTCACGGCCTGACTGAAGACCTGGTGGTCGCCTGGGATAGGGGCGGCCGCTGGGGCTTTGGACCGGGTCCTGCCTTTGCGGCCTCTGACCCTGCGCCGAACTTACTTGGTTCCTTCGTTTTCCGAGGAGCTGAGGGAGATGAAGCACCGGAAAAGACGCCTGGAGAGTGGTTGGAGGCCCAGTCGCTCCGAATCTGACCGAACACTGGTGAGGTCTCATATTAAGACCTACCTAGTGGCGATAAAAATGGCAAAATTTAATTATTTTTCCGTTCTTATCGTGTCTGCAGATAACAGCCCAGCCGCCCTGTTTAGGGTGACCCACTCCCTCCTCCATCTGGGATTGCGGGAAGACCCCTTGCAGGGTCGAGCTGAGGATTTTGCACAGTATCTGTATGACAAAATCTCTCAAATTCGGGAAGGCTTGGACTCTAACTGGGTAGATCCAGACGGGATGATGGAGGAGGGTCTTGAGAATATTATCTGGGAGGAGTTTGACCCTGTGGCTCCCGAGGACGTGGACAGGATTCTGGGGAGGCTTAGTGCGGCTACATGTTTATTGGACCCGTGTCCCTCCTGGTTGGTGCTGGCTTCCCGGGAGGTTACACGAGGCTGGCTCCAGAGGATCATTAATGCTTCGTTGAGTGAGGGTTTCTTGCCTTCCACCTTGAAAGAGGCGGTGGTGAGGCCCCTCCTCAAGAAGACTTCTTTGGATCCGGCTGTTTTGGCGAATTACCGTCCAGTCTCCAACCTTCGCTTTGTGTCGAAGGTTGTTGAGAGTGTGGTTGCGCAACAGCTTCCCCAGCACCTGGATGACGCTGTCTATCTAGACCCGTTCCAGTCCGGTTTCAGGCCTGGGTACAGCACGGAAACGGCATTGGTTGCATTGGTTGATGATCTCTGGAGGGCTTGGCACAGGTGTTGTTCCTCTATCTTGGTCCTATTAGATCTCTCAGCGGCTTTTGATGCCATTGACCATGGTATCATGCTGCGCTGGCTGGAGGGGCTGGGGGTTGGGGGCACCGTATTACGGTGGTTCTCCTCCTTTCTCTCTGACTGGTCGCAGTTTGTGTTGGCAGGAGGGCAGAGGTCGTCCTCGAGGCGCCTTATGTGTGGGGTGCCGCAGGGGTCGGTCCTCTTGCCCCTTCTGTTCAACATTTATGTGAAGCCGCTGGGTGAGATCATCCGTGGTTTTGGGGTGCAGTTCCATCAGTACACTGATGACACTCAGCTGTACATCTTCACCCCAGACCACCCCAATGATGCCCTTGAAGTGACATCCCGGTACCTGGAGGCCGTGCGGGTCTGGATGGGGAGAAACAGACTCCGACTCAACCCCTCCAAGACTGAGTGGCTGTGGCTCCTGGCATCCCAATATAGCCAGCTGGTGCTATCGCTGGCTATTGGGGGCGAATCATTGGCCCCCATGGAGAGGGTTCGCAACTTGGGTGTCCTCCTGGACGCGCGGCTGGCTTTAGAAGAGCATATGACGGCCGTGACCAGGTTTTTTTTTAATCAGGTTCGCCTTATCCGCCAGTTGTGTCCCTTTCTGGATCGGGACTCCCTGCACACGGTCACTCATGCCCTCGTCACTTCCCGCCTGGACTACTGCAATGCTCTCTACATGGGGCTCCAGCTGCTCCAAAATGCAGCCGCACGTGTGATTATGGGAGCGGTGAGGTGCTCCCATGTAACGCTTCTCCTGCGCAAGCTGCATTGGCTCCCTGTGGTCTTCTGGGTGCAATTCAAGGTGTTGATTAACATCTTTAAAGCGCTCCATGGCTTAGGACCTGGGTACTTACAGGACCGCCTTCTGCTACCGACAGCCTCCCACCGGCCAGTACGCTCCCACGGGGCGGGGCTCCTCAGGGTGCCGTCGGTCAGACAATGTTGACTGGCGACCCCCCGGGAGAGACCCTTCTCAGTGGGGACTCCTGCCCTCTGGAACGAGCTGCCCCCGGTGGTACGAAGGATCCCGGACTTGAGCACCTTCCGCCATACCCTGAAGACTTTGTTATTCCAGCAAGCTGGGCTAGCCTAATTTTAACGGTTTTAAATTTTAAATTGGATTTTAATGGGATGTTCTTAATTGTGGGCCAAAGTATTTAATCTGGTTTTAAATTGTTTTTAACTTTTATATTTATGTATTTGATCTTGGCTGTTCACTGCCCCGAGTCCTTCGGGAGAAGGGCGGTATATAAATAATAATAATAATAATAATAATAATAATAATAATAATAATAATAATAGTAATAATAATAATAATAATAATAATAATAATAATAAACAAACAAACACAAACAAACAAAACATTTCTTCCATCTGAGCTCTCACCTTCAGTATGATCAGTTGTGTTATAGAGAAAATGTTACTGTATGGCAAATATTAAGATTCTATTTGAGTTACTTGTATGCAGTGTGTGGTGTGTGTTTCTGTCAATGTCTTCCCAAAATATACAATCCAAGTAAAGCTTGAATCTAACGAAGTTGAATTTTGCTTCTCTCGTATGCAGTTAGTGAGAAGAAATAGTAACTAGACAGTAGTTTACATACCATACAGAAAAGAAGATATTAATTATACTGAAACTATTCCTTTTATTCTGTGTGTATGTATGTATGTATTCATTGAGGATAAATGCATAGATAGATAGATAGATAGATAGATAGATAGATAGATAGATAGATACAGACAGACAGACAGACAGACACACACACACACAAATACATGATTATACAACAGACATACAAACCTGCCCCAATTAAGCCTTAATTATTAAACACAAATTGTTTTCATACATTTTAGGCTATAATAAACTTTCACAACTTTTTCTTTTATATGAATCATTCCCTCATAATTAAAAATGTTTTATTTTTATCCCTTCTCATAATCCAGAGATCAGCTATATGGAATTTATTGACACTATGTCAGACATGTCCCTTATGAATGATAGCCCCCAAATTAAAAATCACCTAATCATCTTTGTTGCTCTTCTCTGCACTCTTTCTAGAGTCTCAACATCTTTGTTATATTGTGGCAATCAAAACTGGATGCAATATTCCAAGTGTGGTTTTACAAAAGCATTATAACATGATACTAACACTCCACAAATCTAAATGGCAATGACTAAAATGCTAAATTGCATAGAGTTTCATATTCTCATCTAAATTATTGTGATTATTTTGGGCAAGAACACCAAATGTTCATGTGATATGGCGATATTCTAAGAATTAGACTATTAAAAATATTTTTATGTTGACATATTTAATAAATTGCACTACACTCTTTCAGATTCTTTAACCTTAAAAGGAAAAAACTTTTTTAAACCTTCATTTTAAAACTCTAAACTATTCTTTGAAAATATTTCTAAAATCAAAACATTTTAGCACATCTTTTTTTAACTTCCTCTTAACATACATACTTTCATATTCTCTTTCAATATTATTTTATAAACTTTAGGAATTATATATAAAGTATTATATATAAAGGGGAAAAAAAAGAAAAGACCCATTTCCAAACCAATTTTATAAACACAAAACTGCATTAGAGCTTTCCTTCAATTACATATATCAGACCAGTAAAAATCCATCCTAACTACAATAAGCTCATTAAAGTCACTCCCTTCTGCTTATCCTCATAAAGTAAAATCTTTTTCTTTTTTGGAATGTCTGTCAAGTAATTATAAAATTCTATTTTTTTCAAGAGATTCTCAACCTTATTAGTATTCATAAAGCAAAACTCCCAAACTTGTTCTCTTGAGAGTTGTAGATTAACTTGGAACTTTTCTTTCAATTGCACTGGAAGGCTTGTATTTAAACCATCATAATAATAAAGATAATAATAATCATAATAAAGATGATAAAGTTCTTTATACCGTCAGATACTTGTGAAGCTGTCTCAGTGGTTTGGTAACTTTTTACACATAATTGCATCTCTGAATTACTCATCTTTCTTCCAATTATTTGAGTGGTTTGTTCCTCTTGCTCTTCTTTTATAATATCTTTAGAACATGATTGATCTGTAAAGTGAATTGTTTTAGTTAAATA